TACACTACTGTTGAGATTGGACTGGGTATTTACCCTCTGGGCGGTCTTTATATAAGACATCCCTTTTTGGGTTTTTTTTCTTCCTTTTTTCTACAATTTCCAGGGTTACCCCCTTTTACCAGTCCAGGTGACCTCTATACTCTGGAGGCTCGGCAGTGGGATACGGGAGTGTCTTTTCCTCCCCTCCCACTTTCCAGCCTTTTGAGTTTCCTTCTTCTTGTTATCATGATATGACAGTATTCGTTGCTTTTTTAGCCATGACACTAATTGTACATAAGAAAAATGTGCGATATTTGGTATTCCAAATTGTGTCTGTATGTCTGCAAAACATTTCAAGATTGGCCCCTGGAAGATATGATACAAGAGTGTTCAATATGGCATCTGTGCCACAGTTTATCGTTAAAGTCGTGTATAATGGAGGGCATGGCCTCCAAAAGGTAACGCCTGGGAGATGCAGTCATCCATTTTGTGTTTGTCCCTAAATTTGTCCCATACTTGTAGTGTGTATTTGGTCGTGGGGAGTATTCCCTTATGTTTGGGTCTCAGCTTCCGAGACATCCATGCGAGAGCTGTCATGGTGATATTGTTAGTGTATATCGATTCGATATGGACCCATTGGGGGAGCATGTTGTTCCAGCTCATTGATAATATTGGGCTAATAATTGCTGCTCTATAGTATCTCCCGTGTCTGGTACACCCATGCCACCCTTTATGACTGGTTTACAGAGGGTGATTTTCGCGATTCGAGGTCTGGCGTTGTTCCATACAAAGGAACTTTGCCTCACATAAATAGCAGGCAGGTATCGCGAGTGGTATAGTTCTGAACAGGTATTGCAACTTTGCTAGGAGTAGCATTTTGGCTGCTGCCATCCTACCCACCCAGCTGTGTATTTGAGTTTTTAGGTCGTGGATCAGTGGTTGATAATTAGCTTTGTATAAGCCCGAGATATGCTGTGTTAAGGTTATCCCCAGAAATTTAAGTGAAGTGGTGAGCCATTCATATGCAAATGTCTCTTTTAGGTGAGTCAATATGTGTGGAGGGACATTAATGCCCAACACTTGTGTTTTAGCTATATTCAATTTGTAGTATTGAACATTGTCAATTTGTATTCACTTCCTTTGACTTTAATGCCATGAATTTTAGGATCATCTCTTATTAGTTGAGTTAGAGGTTCCAGAGCTAGAATGTAGAGGATTGGGAAGAGGGGGAACCCCTGTCTGGAGCCATTTGTAATGGCAAAGCTGTGAGAGGAAAATCCCCCATTTACCACCTGAGCTGATGGGTTGGAGTACAGAGCGGATATTAGAGAGATAAACCACGGGGGGAATCCAAACTTCCCTAGGACCACGAGGAGGAAGGTCCAGTTGAGTCTATCAAAGGCTTTTTCTGCATCCAGTGAAAGTAGCACACTGGGGGCTCCCCTCCCCACAGCCCACCCAGCAGCTCTATGACTTTCCTCGTGCCATCCACCCCCTGGTGTCCGCTGACGAATCCCACCTGATCCGCGTGTACAATAGTAGGGATAATCTGTGACAGCCTGTTTGCATATATTTTGGCAAGCAGCTTTGTGTCTGTGTTGAGTAGGGATATTGGGCGTAGGTTTTGGCTTTTGTTGGATGGTTTTCCTGGCTTGGGAAGTGTGGCCACGTGTGCCATAAGCATTTCTTGTGTTATCTTGCCTGTGTTAATAATGTGATTATATACTGGTTCTAACCGTGGTGCTAAGATGTGTGAAAAAAGTTTGTAATAATAGTTGGTAAGGCCATCCGGCCCGAGGGATTTCCCCGCCGGCAGAGAAGCGATGGTCTGTGCTTGTAGTGTTGCTTTTTGTTGTGGGGTTAGGGATGGCAATTTAGTGAGATGTAGGAATCTGTTAATCTCTGTTTCAGTTGGGTGGGACATAGTGGGTTCCTGGTTTAAGTTATACAGTTTATAATAGGAGGAGGCCATTTCGTTGTTAATTTCTTGGGGATTGTATATTTTATTTTTAGAATCCAAGAGTAGGTATGGACTTTTGGATTGTGTCTGTTGTTTTTTTCAGTAGCGTAGCGAGCATTTCTCCTGCTCTATTGCCCTGGGAATAATTTTTCATTCATTTTGAGTTGGAGTGTGTGGGAAGTTTTAGCTAGATGTATGTCGTTTATGCTTTTGGTAGCATTCTCTATTGTTTTCAGATTAGCGTGCTCTGGTTGTATAGCGAGTGCATTTGTAGGGTCTCGTAGGGTTTGCAACAGTAACATGTAATCTTTGTGTGCTGTATGCTTCAAATATGAGGCTCAACTAATCAGTAGGCCCCTAATTGTCAGCTTATGTGCTTGCCAGAGAGTAACTGGGGTTGTTTCTGGGAGATCATTGAGCTGGAAATATTGTTCTAGATGTTGTGTTATTTGGGACGTAAATGTTGGGTCATGCAAGAGTGACTCGTTTAGGTGCCATGGTGCTTCTCCTCTGTGTGGGAAAGGACCTCTAATTGTCATTGTTACTGGTGCATGATCAGACCACACAATGTCTCCTATGGAGCATTGTGTAACTCTTGGTAGCAGGGGGCTTGGTACCATAAAGTGATCTATTCTGGAGAATGACCTATGTACTCCCAAGTAAAAAGTGAATTCTTTTTCCATAGGGTGGAGTGTTCTCCACACGTTATGTTCTGACAAGTTTGAGTATGGCTTTGCTTTGCGTTCGGGTTGTTAAGTGTCTGGGAGCTAGATAGGGTAGTGTTGTGTCCATGTGGGAGTCCAAGACATGGTTTAGGTCTCCACATATGATGATGTCTCCCGTGTTTGTTTTGGTTAGTTTGTTGAGAACTTTATGTAGGAAATTTCTTTGATGTGTGTTTGGACTGTATATTCCTACCAAGGTGTATTCAATTTCGTTTATTATGCAGTGCATGATGATGTACCTCTCTTGAGTATCTTTCTGTATGTGTAGCAATTTAAACGTCAGGGATTTGTGTATTAGGAATGAGACTCCTTTGGATTTGGATGAGTGAGTTGCGTGATATTTGGTTGGGTATTCATGGATGCCAAAATTTGGGACCCTATTGGTAACAAAGTGGGTTTCTTGGATACAAATTATGTCTATTCTTTCTTTTTTCACTGCTTCAAGGAGGATACAGCGTTTGTGGGGGTGGTTTAGCATACATCTGGGCATTTGAGAATGGTGCTAGATGAGGATTTTGTGGTTCTTTGAGTTTGTGTGTCAATTGTTTAGTTATCCTCGTGAGACATGATAATTAGTGTGAGCATGTTTTGTGCGACAGGGATGGGGGAGGGGTTATGACGTAACATAGGGGTGTCAACTTGGATCGGGGTAACTTGGGTTCTTCTCATGAGGAAGTGGTGCAGGGTTTTCACACCGTGGGGATAGGAGAGTAGAGGTTCTCCCATGAAGTGGCTTTGAGCTCTAACGCAACTAGTAGTTTGGCAAGTGATGTCTGTCCCACTACTGTGGGAATTAGTTGTCCAGGTCTAAGTGTTGCAGCACGTGGGTGGGGGTTAAAGCTCTGTGTCCTTGTATCAATGCTGGTGATTCGTGGTTTATCAACTAGTTTGTAAGTTCTCCTTGTACAGTATCATGTGCGGCTAACCATATCTCTTAGTCCTTGAGGTTTGTCCTGGGTGTCTATGTTTTACCCTTGATTTATCTATGTAATTCCTTCAAACCCCCGGGGCTTATGCTTCTAGACTGTTTGTGACCTCCGCCCGAGCCATGGGCTAATACATATGACTAATCTCTGGGGCATATGTAGAGGCGATGGGAGTCTGCCCTAGGAGTGAAAGAGATTCCACCAAAACTCAACGGCGGTGTCTGTGCTAGGGGAGACTGCCACCCACATTATGTAACAGTATTGAGTTATAGTGTTTCAATTTTGCACTGCAGGGGGATTTATGGTACGTGGAATTTGCCACCCGCGTGGCTGTTTTATCAAAGCGACTGCATCACAATAGCACTGAACTCAGTAGACCTTTGCTACGGTCGACGTGCTAATTTTCATTCATTAGATTTGGTAACTTATAACTATCCAGGACGTGCGTCCTATACAACTGTTTGTTTCAATGAGTCCCACTCGGGTTGGGTGGGCTCATATAGCGGATATTTCACTATATCTGCGCAGTGGGCCCAAGAAAGAAGAAAGACAAAGAATATAGAAGTAAAGAAGAGATTGCATGGTGAAAGCAGATTGAACGAGAGTCTGAGTCATATATACAGTCTGTTTACTTGGTCCAGTCGCTAAACATCATGGTGCCATTACATATTTATCTTTTTTTTTTTTTTTTTTAAAGAAGAAAAAAAGGGATATTTGAGAACATGTGTTATTTATGTGTCTGCATGGCCTTGTAAGTTTCTTACGGTTACAACGGGTACACTCGCCAGGTCGCCCAGTGCCCTGAGTTAGTGAGCCCGGTGGTGATTTCTGTCAGTTTGGGTGATCCCTATAGCGGCTCCTCCACATGCGTCATTTTGCGGGCTTCATGTGCACATTTTCTGGCTAATCGTGGCCCCTATTTTTTTGAGCTAAAAGCATATGTCTAACCCCCGTTCACGGTTCGTGTATCAGTATAGCATTTGTGTTGTACCAATTCAGTGATCATGTGTATCACACATTTAGCAGTGATTATACATGGAGTTTAACAGATTATAACAATTGTAAATGTGTGTCCCTCGACATAGTGTTTATGATCCTATTGCCTCCACATAAATAAAATTATTCAAGTAACGCAAAACTGAGTTATATATATATATGATTTGGGCATTGGCAGGTCCTGTCACTGGACAACAAGGTGCCATTACATATAGCTCCATAAAAATACAAAAAGTAGGAAATTATTCCTGAAGAGCTCGTATCGCTCCTGTGACTGTATGTCCATGCAGTTCTGGTGTTGTGAGCCTGAAGGCTAATTCTGAACCATTTTGTATACTTATATAGCTGCACTTCGGTGTGCATATTTTGTGGGCTTCACCTGCATGTTTTCCAGGTTGGTCATGGTGCATTGATCTAAAACATATGTTTTATATGTTTAGTATATGCTTGCAGGTCTGCATGAAGCACGGATACTGGGACACCACGCAAGCGGAGGTTATTCCTCCTTGCTCTATCCTCTGCATCTGCAATCCTTGTTTCGAGTAGTTCCACTTTTTCTTCCAGACTTTGGAAATGATCGGCTATGTCGTTGTTCCGATCTCTTGCATCTCTCTTCTGATGGCGTCCGTTGTTTGCTGCCATGAGCTTGTTGGAGAGCATATCCAGCGCTTGTGTCAGGTATTCTTTTGTTATATTTTCAGACCGTGTGGGGTCTGTTACAGGGGTAGTGGAACTGGAATCCAAGTCCCTGTCGCCATCTTGTGCTTCAGGCTGCGAGGTTTGTAGCGCGGGAGCGCCTTTGTGGTTGAAAAAGTTGAGTTTATCGGCTTTAGATGCCGTCTTTTTTGATTTGTGGTGGGTCATCTTAAGTTGGTTAGTCATTTTATAATATTTGTTGCCTTTTATCTCCGTTTAATAAGGAGCTCAGTGCCAGAGCAAGTCCTTATGCGGCCATCTTTCAAGGCGGTCGGCCACGCCCCCCGTAGCCAGGGTTTGGGAAAATACAGGGCTAAAATCATACCCGGCCCAGTACAGTTTTTTTTTTTATTTTTTTAAATAGTAAATTGAGATTTAGTCCTGCTCACACCACATTGCTGTCTACGGGGATTTATATCCCCATTAAAAGAGCTGCATGCCGACCTCCCTTTGAGCTCTGCATGCAGATTATCAAATAGCCTGGGGCCACTAAAAACACCCCCAGCTGACAGAGGGGACCCCCCAATTTCTAATGATGCCTGGGTTTCCTAGTGTAAGAAGGGATTTAACCCTGCTCACACTGCATTGTGCTCTATGGGGATTTAAATCCCCATTTAACCAGCTGCATGCCAATCTCACTTTGAGCTCTGCATGCAGCTCAGCTGTCAGTCTGGGTACATTCAAAATGACCCCAGCTGTCCTGGTATGAGCAGGTATTTAACCCTGCTTACACCACAATCTAGATATAGGTATTTATATGCCTATTTAAGCAGATACATGCCGCGCTGACTTCCAGCACTGCATGTAGTTCATCAAAAAGGCTGGGGTCACTAAAAATGTCCCCTATTGGGGTCACTAAAAATGTCCCCTAAATGTATTCTATTGATACCTGGAACTCCCTTGTGTGAGCAGGGATTTAACCCTCATCACACCAAATTGTAATAGTTGGGATTTATATCCCCATTTAAATGCTTGTTTGCAGCGCTCACTTTGAGAGCATCAGTCAGTCTGGGGCCACTTATTCTGGCCCCAGGTGAGAGGGGAGCCCCAGGAATCAAATGATACCTGGAGCTCAAAGTTACCAGCAAGGTAATAGACCCTGCTGGAAAAATTCTGCATGACTGATATTTTCCATCATGCATCCTTAAACGGTTAAAGGACCACTATAGTGCCAGGAAAACATACTCGTTTTCCTGGCACTATAGTGCCCTGAGGGTGACCCCACCCTCAGGGTCCCCCTCCCGCCAGGCTCTAGGGTGAGAAAGGGGTTCAACTTGAACGCGGGGAACTCTCCTCCTCCTCGGCTGAATGCGCATGCGCCAGCATTCAGCCAGTCTCATAGGAAAGCATTCACAATGCTTTCCTATGGACGCTGGCGTCTTCTCACTGTGAAAATCACAGTGAGAAGCATGCAAGCGCCTCTAGCGGCTGTCAATGAGACAGCCATAAGAGGCTGAATTAACCCTAATGTAAACATAGCAGTTTCTCTGAAACTGCTATGTTTATAGAAAAAAGGGTTAACCTTAGCTGGACTTGAAGTGGTCTGGGTGCCTACAGTGGTCCTTTAATGAATCTGCGGTAGTAGTTTGCTAATCCAATAAAGCGTTTTAACGGCCATTGAAATACTGCCTCCAGTTTGCGTGGGTCCATTTTGAAACCAGAAGGGGATATGACATACTCAAGAAATTGTATTTCAGTCTGGTCAAACTGGCACTTTTCTAGTTTCCAGTATAAGCCATTTTCCAGAAGGGTTTTTAACAGTGTTTTCACATGTTCATGATGAGTATGCAGGTCTGGAGAATAGATGAGGATATCATCCAGGTACACCAGCACGAACATGTGGAGGTATTCTCTGAGGACATCATTTATAAAGTCTTGGAATACCGCTGTGGGTTGCACAAACCAAACGGCATGACCAGGTGCTCATAATGTCCCATTCTGGTATTGAACGCTGTCTTTCAAGTTATAAGCGCTCCTTAGGTCGAGTTTGGTAAATACTCTGGCACCCTTGAGCCTGTCGAATAGTTCATAAATAAGGAGGATTGGGTAGGCGTTTTTAATCGTTATTCTATTAAGGCCCCTATAGTCAATGCAACGGCGTAGGTCTCCTTCTTTTAGGTACGAAGAAGAACCCGGTATATAAAATATACTAGGCACAAAGCCTAAATAAAACACTGCAGAGTAAATAAGAAAAAGTCCCAGATACAATACTTTGGTCTAGCAGCAAAAACGTTTCAACTCCAGCTGGAGTCTTCTTCAGTGCTTTTGCGCGTTTGCTGCTAGACCAAAGTATTTTATCTGGGACTTTTTCTTATTTACTCTGCGATGTTTTATTTAGGCTTTGTGCCTAGTATATTTTACTATTTATACACTGCTTATTGTCCCTGTTTTAATTGTTTATATGTTTAATAAATTTTGGATTCTGCACTTTGTATCCTGTGCTGCTCTCCTCAAGGATATAGTTTTAGCCTTTTAAGGCACCCTCCTGCATATTATATAGAGCCTGGGATGGCTTTAAATCCTTTGAGTTTTACTCTACATAAGTCTATCATTATATATATATATATATATATATATATATATATATATATATATATATATATATATATATATATATTTGTGTTAGGTGCTTAAGATAGTACAGTATGAAATACCATGAATAAGCGTAGGATGATAAAAGGAGCAAGTCGGTTGTGGTGTGCCGAAACCGACGATGAGGTAGGCCTGAGAAAGAAGAGGGCCCACCCAGGAAAAGAAATAGAAAGGAAATAAATGTTAAAAGTGGTGTGGTGGGAGGGTCATTCAACGCTGACCTCGAACGGTAAGGAGCAAGGTAAGGGGAGTGCCTTAAGTAGGCTAGGGGTAGCAAACCAGCACCTCCCACAAATGCAGGCAAATTGCCTTAATACTTGTGTTAGGTGCTTAAGATAGTACAGTATGAAATACCATGAATAAGCGTAGGATGATAAAAGGAGCAAGTCGGTTGTGGTGTGCCGAAACCGACGATGAGGTAGGCCTGAGAAAGAAGAGGGCAAAAATTAAGTAATCAAATTTATTAACAGACAACCAATACATATACATTTATCAACCAGACATGTTTATGAAAGCATCCCTTAATTCTTGTACTGGGTTCGGTATGTACCGTGAGTAAGCGGATGACTTCCAGCGCCCCAGTGTTTTGATAACATGAGTTGGGATGTTGACACTGGAGGCTGTGGACGCGGCTCCTATACGAAAGGAGTGTCCTGAGTATTTGTTTGCATTGAGGCCCAGTTGTGTGAGCAAGGACCTGACGTAGGTCATGAAGGTTGTAGTGGTGAGTACTGCACCTTGTAGTTGTAATAACGGTTGCGAGGGCAGTAAGTGATGGTGCTGTATGTAGGCATCAAGAACCTTGACGGGACACCATCTGTTGTGCGTGGGATAGTACGGAATGTTTACAGGTATGTGCTGGCTGGTTTTGGAGTGAGGTAAAGACAGGATGTAATGATCCATATGTTTTGTCAAGTGGGAATAGAGGAGGAATGGAGTGGTTTGGGTCGTGGAGGTCGTAGTGAATTCTCTGGGTCGTAGAAATCCATAGAAAGCGATGTATATTGCTGTTTTGATGATAGAATTCGTATTAGTGTCAAACGGTTTTAGGTCAAGTAGGTTAGATAATGCTTGAAGATATGGTTATCTATGGGTAGCCTCTGGGCCAAATGTGTGGGTTCTGATTTTTTAATACCTCTGAGTATGGTCTTAATTTGGTGAGTGGCCATGAAACTGTTGTTATTTGGGTGTAAGATGAGCATGTGGTGTTGAATGCCAGTGAGATAGAGTTTGATGGTGTTGTATGACATTTTGAGTTTTAGGTGGCAAAAGGAAGCAAACCCCAAAAAGATGTCATAACAAACGGTTGTATGATGTTATGTTCCAGAAGGAATCGTTTGAATAGTGTGAAAGCCCTGCTGTATGTTTTGTTTGTATTGTTTGAAAGTGCCAACTGGGACAATGCCCTGCTATGCTGCATGATGACGTCTAGTCCAGTATGAGTTGTTGAAATGTTGGAGTGATGGTGGCTGTGGGTGCTGCTGACGGGAGTGCTTGATGAAACTCCTGAAATTTAAAGCGAGACAAATTGTCAGCAGCTGTGTTATATACACCTGGCACATGGAAACAACATAGGAAGAAATTATGACAAGCTGCCAACCAAGTGAGTTTCCTCAGAAATCTCATGATCGTAAGAGATTTGGAACGACCTTTGTTGATGATGTGACAGGTTGCCTGGTTGTCTGAGTAACAACGCACTGGCGTATTAGCCCATAAATGACCCCATGCTACGGCAGCCGCCACTATGGGGTAGATCTCAAAAAGAGCTGAGGTAGTGGAAAAACCTTCCATATCCTGAACTGCTGAAGGCCAGCTGCCCCAAAGCCATTCGTTCCCAAAAATTGCTTCAAAACCAGTGGTAGATGCCGCATCTGACCAAATGGTAGGAGATGATTCAGTCAATTGAGGGAGGAACATACTTTTACCATTCCAAGTGGTTAAAAATCTCTTCCACATGTTTAGATCTGCCGTAGCTTGGGCATCTAAGGACAACCTGTGCGTGTCATGTAGAAAAAGTGGGAAAAGATGCAATAGTCGTGAAATAAAGGAGCGGCCTTGAGGTATGATGCGCATCGCAAAATTTAGTGACCCTAGCAGGGACTGTAGCTCTTTGCGGTTGCAAGTGCCGAGCTGTAGGTAGTTGTTTATGTAAGTGAGAATATTCTCTATCTTATCGCATGGTAGGCTTGCTTGCATTGTGGCAGAGTCTAATTGCATACCCAAAAAAGTGATAACCGTGTCTGGCCCTTCTGTTTCTTTGGGGAGATGGGTACACCTATTTGCTCAAACAGCTTGGTGGTAGCTTTGAGGCTAGTGGGAGGTGAAGTATTCTCCTCGACCAGTAGGAATTCGTCCAAGTAATGTAATACCGTAGGGCATCCGGCTATGTTCAATAGTAACCAGCATAATGCGTCAGCAAATGTGTCGAAAATAGCTGGGCTACTTTTGGACCCAAAAGTTAACCGGGAGAAAAATAGTAGTTCCCGGACCACTTGATGCCATGCAGGTGCCACAGTGTGGGGTGGATAGGGAGTAACTTGAAGGCGTTAGTAATGTTGGTCTTACTGAGCCAGGCTCCAACTCCTGCTTGTATGATAGCTGTAATGGCGTGATCTATGGTGGTGTATTGCAGAGAGAATTCCTCAGAGGGTATGAGGGAATTAAGACTGGGGTTGGCCGATGAGTGGGGAGCCGATAAGTCAATGATGAGTCTCTGTTTTTGGGAAGATTTCCCTGTGACAATACCAATAGGGTTGGTGCGCCATTCTGTGAATGGAGGAGTTCTAAAAGGCCCCAATACAAAGCCCTCATCCACTTCTTGGGCTATGAGGGTGTCAACCACTGTGGGGTTGTGTTGGGCGGATTGTAGGTTAGGGCATTCCAGAGTTCCAGCTGGTATGTGTAGGATACCTGTGTGGAAGCCTTCTGTTAAACCAGAAATAAGAAAGTCTACCAGGTGTCTAGATGGGTGCTGAGACATCAATGTTGTGAATACTGGCATATTAATGGACGTAAGGTAAGGCTTGGAATACATTTTATTTGGACACATGGTCTTTGCATGTGCCCTAAAACATTTTGAACAGACATGCAATAGTCTACATCCACTGTAATTACAAGACCCAACATTGAATTATTACATACCTGGGACTTGCCCAGAAACTTGATTGGGCGTCCCAATTTGTCTTTGATAGTTTCCCTGGATCCCCAGAGGAACTAGTTCCTTGTGTGGAGGCATGTCCGTCTGCCGTGTTGGGACAAAAATTAGTAGTATGGGCTGTGGAGGAGCAGTATGCACAAGCTGGTGTTCTTAGACCTGCGAAGTGTCTGCAAAATAAGACGGTATCAATCCTTCCCCAGTTGGATCGTGTTCCGTACTGGGAGAAGGCTCCAGCCACTTTTGCAGAAAAAGACCTATGGTAGTCTTAGAATGCCGAACCACCATATTTGTTGCCCAGGTCTACCAGCTTGTGCATATAGAGATCAAACTCCTCTCTTCTGTTAGGATAAACCGCACAGATGACATCCCTGTAAATACCAAACGCTAGTACAAATTCAGAGATAGTCAGTTTTCTGTTCAGGCGGGCATCCCTAGATCTGACAATAACAGAAACATCATCATAAGCATACGTCTTATGTTCCACAATGTCCTGGGAGGCAATCAACAGGGAAGCCAGGTTGACGTCTTTACCTTCCAGGATATCCCTTTTGAAATGCTCAGGTATCATGTGGGCCGGGCTTACTTCCTGGTCATCCAGGGTGCAGGCTGGAGAGACTAATGGCAAGGCTGGTGTTTGTACCGCAGCCGCAGGTGGCCCTGCTAGAGTGAGGGCCGTGGTGACCGACTCAAGTTTCTCCAGCCTGGAGTTGACCTTGCCCATGGATGCCATGAGTGAGGATAACATGGCATGTATGTCTCCTGGGTTGGACTGGCTAGATCCTTCCCCGGCTTCCATGTTATTAGTTGATGTGCGTAGCAGTTTGAAAAGTTCTGCCTTCCTTGCTGTAGCGGGGTAGGGGATTTGTCGTCTCCTTAATTCCGTGGTTATGCGCGGGATTGTCCAGGATCTGATTGATGCTGGACTAGCTAGCTCTCCTCCTTGTGTGGGAGTGACAGCTCTAGCCGGGGTGCTAGGCAGGGAGAAATCCTCTACCCCTTCCTGAGACATACTATAAATAAAACAATAATTAGTATATAGAACCACCAAATTGTACTGGCAGGCTAGCTAGGCCGGATGGCGAAAGTATTATACTTGTTTGGTGACAGGTGAGGCCCTGCTAATTGCCAAGCGGCTTGAGAGGCTCTATCTATGCGTTGGCGCGAGGGGTTATTGAGGCCACTTGACGTAGTGGCAGGAGTTTTAGGCCTCTCGGTGACTGTACGACAGAAAACAGGGGAAGGGAGTGACAGGTGAGGCCCTCTCTTTGCAACATGCGAGGCGGCTAGCTAACGTGTGGCCCGATGGGTGTTTGCCTCCGAAACGTTTGAGGCGGGGTGTTGGCCTCGCGGGACCACTAACTGATGGCGACAGCCAAGACGGGGTAAATACCTATTGGGAATCCTGTGACCCTATTGCCAGTACTCTAAAACTAGGGGGATGAAATGAAATGTATGGTAGAATACCATATGAGCAGGTGTACGTACCTGGTAGTATGACAAAGCACAGGAATAAACCGTGTGGAGCAATTATATAAGCTTGACAGCCTAAAAATGGGTAAAAGAGAGTAGTATGATGAGTGTGGAGTGTGAAAAGAAACAGACTTATAGTCCGTAGCAGCGATGTATTAAAATTATGTTGATGCCATGGGAATAGCTATGAGTGGCTCAGAAATGTTAGCATGCTTGAATAAGACATCTGAGGGAGGCCGTGGCCTATGTACCAACAATCTATGTGTTACGTGATAATGGTGTGTAAAGGAAAACATGAAACGTAGGTTATATACATATGTATATGACTGTGCAGGGAACGTATGATTGGTTGGATCAGTACGTGTGATTCAACCCGAGTATGCATGAAAAAGGAATTAAGCCTTATGTGTCATCGTCATGACAGAGAAATGAGGCCTGTAATATAGGCTGAGTGAATTGAAATGAAATGGATAGTTATAAAACTCCTGGCGTGGGAGTTTCAATGATCTGTACAGAAATGTAACTGGTTTTATAGAAAGGAACATGGATGAGGTCCTGGCCTATTTAACACAGCGTTATGTATGATATGTAGCAGAATAACCAAAGGCAGGGATACCCCAAAATGATTTAAAATGATGTAAAGTGATGTAAAGTGATGTAAATCTATATGATATATTGTATAGAAAAGACTTATCAACCCGAGAATTATGCTTAAATGAGCCTATATTCTTTGTATGTGTTGTAGTAATAACCCAGAAGTGAGGCCTGTAACATAGGCTGAGTCCATTTGTATAAATGGATAAGTAACGCAGACCCCTGAAAGCGTGGGAGTCAAATGGTATATACAGAGAAGTGGACTTGATTTGTGGACGTAATACAATACTGAAAATATTTTAAAAGTAATCAAAATAATCTATTTAAGCAAGCAATTATTTAACCGAACGTTATATACACATGAAATGGTGAATATAATTCATGAAAGGATTATACGTGAACACACAGAAAAGCCGAAAGCAAATGTGAGGGAAACACAGAAGTTTAGAATAGTTTAACTGTATGACTTATGCGAACCGAAAGTGTGTTTGAGCGTAAGTAAAATTTTGCCGAAAGGGCAAAACAACCGAATGATAATTTGTTTCAATAACATGAAATAGGATTTGCGAAATGACTATTGAACGATTAAATATGTTCAGCCGAATGACCGTACGAGTGAAAAAGCCCACGAATGGCTTGAAACATTCGTGTCATAACCAGGGAAAAAGCCGTAAAGCGAGGACCCGTGCTGTACCGTACGCCGTGGGAACCGGTCCTGGCGTGACAGGAAGGTCTGACTTATGGTTTAGGAGTCCCTGGGACGCGATCTACGATGGAGACCGGAGTCAGAAGAAGCTGGACGGGCAGAAAGGCCTGAACAGGATTCCTGGACACAGCTTAACGTGGTGAAACCTCGTGGATACTGAAACCAAGATGGCGTCTGAGAGAACCCGGAAGTGGATCCTCATTCAACGCTGACCTCGAACGGTAAGGAGCAAGGTAAGGGGAGTGACTTAAGTAGGCTAGGGGTAGCAAACCAGCACCTCCCACAAATGCAGGCAAATTGCCTTAATACATATATATATTTATTTTGCACTGTTATTTGTGTCTTTTAGATTGATCCCGAATTGTCATTTTGTTGACTGGTGCAGTATTTATTCTATTGTTTTATTATTTGACTGTAATTGGTCAGAGGGTGATCTCTGACCCCAGAACCCGTGTGACCCTGGGGGGGCGGAGTCATCGATGGCCGCGACCACATGGTCGGCGCCATCTTTATTTCGGGCAGACGGACAGGAGAACCCGGTGGAGTGGCTCTTGAATCACCGCTGAGCAGGTAAGTTCAGTCTGTCGGCGCGGTCGGGCGCGACCACATGTCGCGGCGAGCCGGGTGCCGTGACATATATACTTTTGTGTGGAAATTTTTTTTCTGTGGTGCCTACTAAACCTACCAACTTCTAAAATTGTTTCACATTAAAATATTATTTTAGTCCTTGTATTTTGTGACCTGTAACTTTAAAAATAAGCTGAAATCCTATACATATGATGTACTCTATAAATCAAGACACATAAATTAATTTATTTTGAATTACTTTTTATAAGCTGGACATATTATACACACACTATTATTGCCAAAACTGTGAATTTATTTTTTTTATTTAAAAAAATAATGAGAATGTATCTATGTATATGTGACATAAAATTAAAGCCCTGTTTGCCCTCTGAAAAACTGTATATAATATGTGTTGGTGCAATAAATGACAGAGATGCAAATTGCGTTTGAACACAAACAGCAAAATATGCAAAAATGGCTTGTGTCCTTAAGGGTAAGACAAGCTTTTGAAGTTAAAGGTTTCTCATCTGTGATAGCTCCTATCACCAACCTTACCCGAAAAGGAGCTAACTGTAATTCTTGGCTCAAGGAAGAAAAAGAGGCATTTGATAACACACCCCGATCCTGCTAAACCTTTTATTTTGGAAGTGGATGCGTCAGAGACAGGAGTAGGGGCCATTCTGTCTCAACGAGAGAGTCCTGATGCACCTTTACATCCCTGCGGGTTTTTCTCTAGAAAACTGACTCCTGCTGAGAAAAACTGTGACATCGGGAATAGGGAGTTACTGAGCCACTTTTGATTTTAACAGATCAATTCTGGTGGCCGACACTTAGGGCTGATGTCAGGGACTACATAGGGGAATGTTGAATATGTGCAGTTTCTAAGGCCTCTCATAAATCTCCTCCTGGGTTGTTACAGCCACCTCCGATACTAGACGCTCCATGGACCCATCTAGCCATGGATTTAACTGTGGATCTCCCTAATTCCAATGGGTATAACACTATCCTCATGGTTGTGGATAGATTCCCCAAGATGGCGCATTTTATACCTCTCAAGAAATTGCCATCTTCTTAAGATCTTGTCCAAATATTTTTGCGTGAACTCTTTCGGCTACATGGGGTAGACTGTAAGAACTTTGACTCCATGGCGATTGAACTATGTGTGTGGGATCAGAGCGCTATTCGCCAATAATATGCACTCAGATCCAGGCTATCTGGGGATATGTGATGCGAATGGGAAATGTTCGGTTATTTTAAAGTTATGTATTTTTATGTTTTTTCTGGTTTTATATTTAAGATGGCGATTGTCTTTGTCCTGGAGATAATTGAATTTCTTTTCAATTATCTCCAGGGCAGAGGGGAGGAAACCATAGTG